CATAAAACAAACCATGCAAATGTCCACCACTTCTTCTCAGGGAAAAGAGTATGGAGATCAAATTCACCTGCATTCAGCTGCAAATTATAGGGGTGTGGGCCGTGGGATGCTGTGTTCCACAAAGACCCTTCGCGCACGGCCTCACCACCTCAAAAAACCGGTCCACCATGGGGCGTCCACCACCGCGGGTCCGACCGGAAACAGTACGTCGACTACTGTTCGCTCCTCATCAAAGCGTCTCAATAAAGATCAACCAAACAACCATACGTCTCGCTGTGTCAGACCGCGTCGTGTCTCGCGGGCGCGCAGACACGTCTCACGTCGTGTCTCGCGGGCGCGAGACGAGTCGTGCCTGGCGCCTAGGCTTCGGCCAATCGCATAACCTGAGGAGACGCGGCGAAGAACGGTCCGGTGCCGGGAATCCCATCGGTGAGAGTCTTCATGGTCTAACATGATCAAACTATAAACATGGTCTAGTAATGATCATTAATGAGAGAAGTATCTATCATGGTGTCTTTAATACAGTATATCTAGTAATGATACTTATAGTCATATGAGAGTAGTATCTTCACCTTTTGTACTACTTGTAGGGTGAAGGTATACCAATGCGGGGGTGGTGTCTGGGGTCGAAGCGTCCGTTCTACATGTTGTCCATACATAGACACAGTGTTTTGATCGAACAACACAAAACAATTATATTGAACTTCTGCCGAACAGTTTGTTATGGTTTCTTGGTGTTTCTGCGGTCATGGTTTTCATTTTTTGCTTTGACCTCACCGACCTCAACCGAAAAAAAATAGTACCAAAAGAGGTGCTTCCACAATCAACGACACCTGCAGAAAAACTCCATAATCAGTCGCAAAATGTTGCAAACCCATTTTAGGATGTTGTATGTCTGTGGTGATCCTTCATGCTGCCCTTTGTTTCACACCTTACAGTTGAGTTCAGAATATAATGCTTGCCGCAACAAAGTTGATTTAAAAATAACAACAACGCGTGCTGGGCTAGTGCAGGTCGGAGCAGACTTCCAACTTAGATGGAAGTTCATCAACTGCCTCGTATGACTCTTGTCCTGCGGACAGACGAACAATCTCGGACAAATCTCATCCAAAGAGTAAAGGAATATGTACGAGATGTTCTTCCTTATTCTGAATGTTTCTTTCATGGTGGACGGAGCATCCTTCTGGCAAACGGACATGCAAAGATTACTTTCGTCATGTGTGAGCGATACATGGAATAAACCTATATCATATATAATATATAATCAGCAAAGAGTAGTAAGGGGGCTATAAAGTCGGCAGCCAATCATGATAGGGCAGTTTAAAACCCACAACTGCAACAACCCGTCCATGCAATGCAAGGTGAACACCACTGCGCCAGCTAGCCATTTTTGCACCCCACTAGCCACCAGCGACCACAAGCACTCCAAATGATTTGTCAATTGTTTCGGCGAGCCGTTCTCTTCAGCCGGGCGTCGACTTCTCCCAATGCTGAGGTAGGGTCTTGAGCCAAAAAAATACCTTTCGAACATACACTAACTGAAGGCCAAACATCTACCAATACATGCAGATAATATGCTTAAATAGATTTAAATAGTATAGCATTTCACATGCAACCTCACTAGGTTCCCATTTTATGTGGTCTCTTGACCCCTCTTCCTGACAGTCAGCTGTGTGGAACCGAGCAGGGATTGAACTGCTGCTTTAAAAACAGCCCTCCGTTCGACCATTATATAGTTAAAGACAGGTTGACCTGTTGTTGTGGTCATAAAACATCATAAAACCTTATAGTAAAACATTGGTTGTTCAGTGAAACTCACAAGAAAATTAATCGTTGGAAGCCTATAGCCAACAAGGTGCCACACAGAAATCTGATGAATTGCTCTCTGCCCTCGCTCCTTCCTCCCAAGGGCTTCTGCTTAAACTCTTTCTGCTTGAGAAACCACCACAACATCACCTTAAAAAGGCAAAGCCTATGGTGAGGAGGGAAAATAGACCATAAACCATCATAAACAATATATCAAGGGGAAAACCACAAACCATCAGAAACCCAATCAAACCACACATAATATAGACGAACACTCCAACTAGAACAGCAGGGGAACTTCCAACCCCGCAAAACCATACCCTAGGCTTCCAACAACCATTAATTTAATAGGCTGAATCCCGAACGCACTAAGGATTTTACACTACAAAAACCAGGTCGTTCCCATTCTTTTTATGGTCGAACGGAAGTCGACAGGGCATATATAGTCGACCAACTACACGTCACGACCTCTCGCGAGGGCGACCAACCCCCAAACCATTCGCCTCACTGCGGACCCACCGCCGTCCGACGCTCACCGATTCCGCCCGCGCCGTCCAACGCGGATCTCTCACCGGCGCTTCTTGGGCCCAAGGGCTGCAGAGGTCGATTGCTATCGCCTTCCTGGTGTCTTCCCGCGACTCCCAACTCGTAGGTTCGCTGCAGCAGAAGTCCTGGTCTTCCCATGCGCCCTCCCCCTCAACAAAAACAGTAACACCATGCAAAAAAAACACACCCTGCGAAAAAGGCCCCATGCGTCCTGCGCATCCGGTGCGGCATTTGCTCGCACGAGCATCATAAGCATCAGTGAACGATCATGAATTCTCCAGAGGTTTTTCCTTGACACAAGCCTGGAGATGTTGAGGGAAATAGAATGAAATAGGGTCCTGAAAACATTCTCAACTGGAACAAGCCTTGTGACACAGCCTTCAGCCATCTCCCAGTCACCATAGCGGAGGTGGAAAACACGGGTTGATCAAAACTGGCGCAGATGTTTCATTGGAAGAATCTCTTTAAATTGCATGTCAAGAAGAAATGCGCTGGTGGCCCCTGATAAGACAGTGAACAGCTGTCTTATGAGTGCAACCAGAAACATATGCGGAGCTGAATCGACCAACATCCTTCATGTTGAATAGGGTGAATAGCCCGCATGTGAGTCAGAAAACTTAGGGATGTTGGAACTCAACTGGTCGTATGAAAAAGAAAGGACCGATGGTTTGGGGATACAAACATGTCCTGACTTCGATGGAAACCAGCAATCTGTGTTTGCACAAGCCAGGCAAGCTGTGTCATGGAACCAGCACATTCTTCGGTGAGACCCAAGTCTGCAGTGCAATGATTACACAGAAACAGAATCCAACTGTTGCTTGCCCAGGTCAGTGTTTGAATGTGTCTTATATGCTAGTGCTAGTTTGCAAGTTGCCTCAGTTCCAATCAACGGCTGCAAGCAATCTGGTCCTGCACAAAGGCACACGCGTTTGATTCAGGTTTTCTTTTGTGCTGCCTGTGGGGCCATTTGCCGTTCTCATTGTGCCCAAGCATTGCCCCCACCAGGTATGTGTGCGATACCAGAATCGTCAATGACTGATGGACAAATCCTGCACCCGATTATGTCAGTCTGTGGAACGTCTGGTTCTCTATTTCTCTGTAGGGCTTTGGTCCAAACTGGTGTATGTTCTCCAACTAATCTGAATCTAAACATGACCCCACGAGAGGTTGAGAGACCTTATAGGACCCCATAGTGGAACGTATGGGATGGGCTATAAGTTACAAGGCTGTTCAACCTCTCTTGGCCTGTTCCTTCTTGCCGCGAACCCCAAACGAGGAGTTCCCTCCGTCGATCCGTCCTGTCCATCCGTCCATGTCCCCTGTCCATCGGTGCCCCGTTGTCCATCTCCGGTCCTCAAGTCGGGTCGCTCGTCCTTCAAACGTGCATCGTCCATCACTCAAGAACCTCCCAAAAACGAGCTCCAAAACTCGCTCCATCGCCCGTCTTATCACGGCTGCTTGAACCATCTCGGAAAGCAGGATGGAAAGGGGATGAAACGGGGCATGTCTATTCTCTGGACTGGAGTGCTAAGCCCATCGATTTCTCCAAACAAAAGTTTGGGACTGTCCAAATTGACCAAAATGTAGGGGGTGCTTGAACAAGAGGTCAGTCAATGGGCGGTATGTATCACATTTATTCCAGTCCCCGAAGGTCAAGAAGTATGAAGCGGGTTTCTGTTGGGTGTCCAAATATCCCGGCTAGAAAGCGGTGCGGCATCCCATGGGTGTCTGACCTTTCGTTCACATGCTGTGCAGTCACTGCAGTCTTCAGTTAGGATTCCATCTCTGACACTTCGCCGGAGCGAAGCACCTAAGCGTCCATGTCTAGCAGTGGAATCAGGCGAACAAGGCCCGTCATCAGAGATTCATCTCGCTTTTCGGATGTCATTGATGTGACCCACTGTGATAAGCAGCTCAGCATGCTTTATTAAAACTTCACCATTCTTTCGCCTCAGAAAGCGCCAGCCAACGGCTTCAGACTGCTGAGTTCGCGGACTCCACCTGTGGAGTCCACGGGCCGGTCCGGTCCGCGGGCGAGACCGGAGTGACCGGTGCGAGCGGCTCGGTGTCCGGTGTTCGGTTCCGGTGTGGGTCGCACCAGGCGACACCTGGGTTGACCGAAAATGGACAGAATGGACTACGAGTCGGAGGTCAAGTCCATTCGAATGGCCCCCCATCTTATGATACAACACGGTGCCCACCGTGACATGCTCATGATGTCACATCTGCATCATGTCCTCTTTGGATGAGGCATTGATGCAGTAAAGATTTGCATCGGAACACTGAATGATTCGTAGAAAGGCGTCTTCTTGGATGGTCAAAAGGGTAGGATAGATCGATGTGTTCTGCGCACCACTGTCCGCTGATCTGACAGCATGCTTGACCCAAGATCAGTATAGTCACTCAAATGCCAAAACGTAGGAACTGATAGAATAAATGCTGACTTGAATAGCACACCGCCGCGTTTCGGGCCATTCGACTCGACGTTTGCCAAAGTAAGAGTTCTCTCTACAGATCAGTGTGGAAAAAATGCTGAAGTTGCCAAAACAAACAAAACAATTGTCAATCATTGCTATTGTCAATCCATGTCTTGGGGGGGTATTCATCCATGTCGTCTACATCGGACGCAATCGTCCGAACTCTGCACCTCAGCGCCACTTCGAGAGCTTCGATGGGGAAATCGGCAGTGGCCTGAATCATCCCAGAAGCTCTGATGCATCCCATAAAGCTAGGTGCTTAACTCCTTAATCCTATTTAAACAAAAGCAAGTTGTTTTGGAATGTTTTGGACTGGGAAAACCATTTATTGTATAAATTGTGGTCTCTACCGGAACTAGGAGGTGTTAGTGGTTCCCGACCTTCCCAAAAGGCACGGCGGAAGCTGACAAATCACTCCCCAAACTCAGTAACTTTCATCCTCCCGCCGAGTGATGCCTGGAAGGCCATCCATGTATCTAATCTATTGTCATCTATTGTCGATAGTGACAAACCCGGGATACATTCAGCATGCTGTCCATACGGTATGTATTTTGTATGGGTGTGTGTTGGAAGAGGGGACCCCCCCAAAGACTTCCTGGCAAAAGGACAACAAACTAAAACCTATTGGCTGGTGGGTCTCCCTGTACATAGTTCTAGCAGTTAATGTATATTGCCACTCTCCCATCCCCAGAAGCGCAGTACGAGGGAACTGGTGAAACTGGCAAAATAAAATGAAAAAGTAAAAACACCGTATATTTATCCAAGAATCAAAAACATTCCATTGGGGTGGTTTCAGAGGTCAATGCACACGAAGTGTTTGGGTATGAAACTTCAGCTGCACTATTACGCTGACACCAAGTTCACCCAGCTACATGCAAACTTTGCATGTTTAGAGCAAAGCACATCAATTCTCACAATACTTCCAGCAACTCCTGTGAACGCCCAAATATCACCACCCACCCCACCAGTGCTTTACCCCATGAACTGGTGTCTTATGGGCCACGGGGAGACCGTCACTACACACCAGGGTGGCCCTCTGCGGAACCTCAAGGCAAGTGATTACTATAAGTGCAGTAGAAAAAAACAGGACCCACAAGGTATGCATGGTTAATGGACACAACATTAACCTCAGTATTAGGGGCTAAGCAAATGACATCCCCATGTCTACGGGACTCCGCTACGGGCCAGAAAAGAATAAAGTAACATCTCAAGGATCCGCAGAGTTGCTGCCTCAAAACCCATCACCCATGGAAAGCTCAGGTCGAAACCACCGTGCAAACTCCGTGCCCATCTCCCAACGAACCCCTTCACCTCACCGCTCCTCACCGGTTCCGAGGGGCTCGAACTTCTTCGGCGACGCCGCGAGGCCGACGGCCGGCAGCTGCGGCGAACTCTTGGATCCGCCGAGACCTCACCGGTTCAGGGGGGAGAAGTAAAGACGTGGTGGTGTTCAGAGCACTGACAAGCATTACATTTATAAATTGCTTTCAGAAGTTTCTGCAAGTGGTAAGACGTTGACATCTGTCATCTGTCAGTTCTGCATGTTCTACGATTCTACAACAAGAAGTGGTTCGGGGGCTCTGGGCCCGGTTCTCACTGTCATGTAGAACAACAAACTCTTGCGAACTAATTTTGACCATGACATGCCGTGATTCCAATGTTGTTCTTATTGCGTTGAGTAGTTTAAAGGCGAACATGGTCGAACTATACCCATGAGCTTTGCCAGGCCCATGCCCTGTCTTCCTCGGCTCTACCCACATGTCCACATGTGAAGTCAAAAACATCATGACACCATTCTCTCCAAGTCAATGGACGGATCAAGGGGAGGAGGTATCTTGTTGTTCACCCTAGAGATTCTGATGGAGAAACTCTGGTTTCATCACAAGGACGAGGGTATCCGACTGCTCAAAATGAACAATTGATTGACCATTTCAGTCAATTTTAAGGTCCAGCTATACGAGATCTTTGCCTCTTTTCCTCACCATGCATCGAAAACCAAAACGGCACGGCCGTTTCACCGCAATCTGATCGATTTCCGGCCGGCGGCCAACACCGCCGCCGGACCTCCGTGACTGACCGTGGGTGCGACGAGCTAAAACGAAGAGAAGACAGACCTAAAACGACTAAAACGCCTCACAGAACACTCCTAAGGTGATGATTTGTATTTTTTTGCTTGGTGAACTGTACCTGGGAGTGATGGTGAACTGTACCTGGGAGTGAT